AGGGGGTATGGAGGGGCAGAGAGAGAAGGAGAGAAAATTCCAAGTGGGCTCCACTCTGTCAGCGCAGAACCCGACACGGGGCTCGATCCCAAGAACTGTGAGATCATGACCTGAGCCGAAATCAAGAGTTGGACATTTAACCAACTGAGCCACCTAGGTGCCCCTTTTTAGTTATATTTTTAAATATTCTGTCCCATTGTTTAGGTTTTCTACTTCAGGGGCTTCATTTATGGACTTAACAGTTTTCCTTGGTTTTCTTCTGTATCCATCATCTTCTCCTTGATCCTTTTTGACTCTTTATTTACATTTTATTTTGGTCACTCTTTTATTTCTATCCTTATTTCTATACCTCTCACCGGATTGTCTGCAGGGTCTAATCTCCCTTAGGCTTCTTTTTATGTTGTCTTCCTTCTAGGATGTTTGTGTTTTTACTTCTACTTTTTGTCTGCATTTTGCCAGCTCACATTTCCTCCTCTGAGCACTGAGTTTGTTCTGGGAGTGTATTTTTGCTGGCGCTTTCTGCACTCCGCTCCCATCCAGCTGTGCTTCCAGCTGTCTGTCTGGCTCATCGCTTCCCCGCAGGTGACTTCTGTTGCACTTCACCCCTTCCAGCTTCGGCTTTGAGGGCAATCATAGTTGCTTTTGGCAGTCCTTATGTGTATTTTGAGTCTGCAGATTATATCCGTCTCCTTGTTTTGCTGAAAATGGAGTTGTTTTCCTCCTCCTTGTTGCTTTTGTATGCCATCCAAGAGTAGAAGAAGAAAATTGCCATCTTGTATCTGCACGTTCATATCTGAGAACCCCAGTCCTGGACCTCTGCTCATTTACCATTGTAATGATTCATTCAGTGCCAGAGTCTGCAACTGGGGTCTGCCAACAATTCTGGAAAATTATAAGATATTTTCACTTTGAAAACTACTTCTTCTCCTTGTCTCTTATAGCTCCTTCTCAAACGGACTCTATTCTCTGTGGAACTTGTCATTCTGTTCTTCATATTTTTAAATTTCTCTTCCATATTTGCCATCTCTGTGAGCTGCATTCTGCATAACTTCTAGATCTTCTTGGAAGGGTTTAGGTAACCAATATATTTAAAATGTTTTGGCAGCTCCTGATCCCTGGTCCCCACTTTATTCTTCCCCATAGTATTTTCTACCATTTGACACACTGTATTTTAATGTATTTTTGTCTTTTTTGCCTCTACTATTCTTTAAGTTCTTAAGTAAACTTTTGATTCAGGGGCGCCTGGATGGCTCAGTTGGTTAAGCGTCGGACTCTTGATTTCGGCTCAGGTCATGATCTCACAGTTCATGGGATTGAGCCCTGCATCGGGCTCCATGCTAACAGCCTGCTTAGGATTCTCTCTCTCCTGCCGTCTCTGCCCCTCCCCCTCTCACGTGCAATAGCTCTCTCTCTCAAAAAAAATAAACAAAAAAACTTTTGATTCAAGTATAACATAGCTACGGAAAAGTACACAAAGCAAAGCATCCAACTCAATGAATTATCACGAAGCAAACACACCCACGTAACAACATTCAGACCATGAAACAGAGTCCTGACATCCCAGAGGCTCCTTGAGCCTCTCTACCCCCAGCCCCACCAAGGGCACCACCCTCCTAACCTCCATTTTGTCTGGTGGTTAGGTTTATAAAAACAATCATAGAGCATGCAGTCTTTTGTGTCTGGTTTCTTTTGCTCACCATTTTGTGAAATGCATTCACAAACCTAGATGATGCTGGCTGTAGCTGTAGCTTGTTCTCATACCGTATAGTATTCCATTGTGCAAATATACCATAATTTATTGTTTCCTTCCATTACTGAGAGAGATTTTGGTGGTTTCCAATTTTGGACTATTATGAACAGTGCTGCCATGAACATTTTGCACCCTGTCTTTTGATAATGTTGTGACCCCTTTCCGTTGGGTATATACCTGGAAGCAGAACTGCGAGGCTATGAGGTGCGTGGGTGGCTCAGTTGGTTGAGCGCCTGAGGTTGACTCAGGTCATGATCTTGCAGTTCGTGAGCTTGAGCCCCCCTTTGGTCTCTGTGCTGTCAGCTCAGGGCCTGAAGCCTGCTTCAGATTCTGTGTGTCCCTCTCTCTCTCTGACTCTTCCCTGCTTACGTTCTGTCTCTGTCTCTCAAAAATAAATAAATATTAAAAAAAAAAAAAAAAGAATGGTGGAACTGCAGGGCTAGAGAGTGTGTATATTGGTTCTGAGCTGCTTGTTTCTTGGAACTTTATCTGTAGGAAACCTTTGGGACTTTAAAGTTTCAACTCCAGAGAGGATTCCTTTGCTTCCTCCAGTTACCTGGGGCACTGCCAACTAAAGACCACTTTAAATTTTCTCCAGCCCACACAGGTGATATGAATGCAGAATACAACCTGTGTGAGGCTCCACTTAAAGTTACAAATGTTACAAATGAGAAAATGTCCTGCCCCCTCTACCTGGAGCTATGCTGGAGATAGGCCAGATTCCTCAGTGTTGACTTCTGTGTGGTGGGTTATTTCTCCTTGACTGAGGGTTTAGGTTTTGGAGTGGCAGCTTTGCATGGCAGATTAGTTTGCTAAGGGCTGCCCTAACAAAGCACCACAAACTGGGTGGCTTAGCACAACAGGAGACTTGTTCTCCATTCTGGAGGCTAGACATCCCAAATCAAGTCGTTCTTTGTTTTTTTATTTAGTTTTTTACTTTCCTTTTGAGATTTTTTTTTTTAAGTTTATTTATTTATTTTGAGAGAGAGTGTGAACAGGGGAGGGGCAGAGAGAGAATCCCAAGCAGGCTCTGCACTGTCAGCATGGAGCCCGACGCAGGGCTCAAACCTACAACCCTGAGATCAAGAGTAACACGCTCTACCAACTCAGCCAGCCAAGCACCCCAGGCATCCTTCCGATGGATCTGAGGGAGAATCTGTTCCCAGCCTCTCTCCCAGCATCTGGTGGTTGCCTACAGTCTTTGGTGCTCCTTGGCATGTAGACGCACCACTCCACCTCTGCCCTCTGTCTTCACGTGGTGTTCTTCCTCCATCCCTGTGTCTTCACATGGCTGTCCTCTCTCTGTGCCCCTCTCTTCTTCTTATAGGAACATCTACATTGTGTTAAGGCTCCAGCCTACTCCAGATGACCTCATCTTGACTAATGACAGTTGCAATGACCCTATTTCCAAATAAAGTCACATTCTGAGGTAGCAGGGTTAGGACTTCAACATATCTGTATAGGGGACACAATTCAACCCATAACACATGGGGTCTCCTATTAGACTGCCCATTGTGGGCAGTGCCAGGCTTTCTCTGCTGAGCCCCCTGCCCTGGCACTTGCCAAAGAGTTCTCCAAGATTTCCAGAAACTTAGAGGGCAAAAGTCAGCTTTGTTTTTGCTTGCCTCACAGGTTTTCTGCTCTTACTTTATTTTGATTTCTGTAGACTTCTTTCCTTATATCAAGTCAGCAACACAATTCAGAAACATCTTTAAATGCATTTATCTTCCATCTAGCATTCCCCCCACCTATTTCAATAAGGAACATGGCCAGAGAACTCAGTTTGCCAAACCCATCACTGGTTTTTATCCATCTTTGCTCTCCTGACCCCACGCCTCTGCACTGGCAGGCCCTTTATGTTAGATGTCTGCCCATTCCAGCCAAACCCTGGGTCTGCCCTCTGCCTTGCAGTCCACCCAGAAGGGAGACCCTATCTCAAGTCATGCCACCTGCCTTGGCATCTCGCCTGAGGTTAAGGGCATGGGGCTTTGGAGCTAGACACCTGAATTATGATCACCTGGCCATGCCTAGATTTTCCTACATATAAAATGGGGACTTCTGAAAGGCAACATGACACCCTGAGCACAATGAATACTTGGTAAGGCCAGACATGTTCATCATAGTGCATACGTTCTCAACTGGCCACCAGCCCACCCTCTGGAGGGAGGGGTCCAATTAGGATTGTTAACAGATGGCAGGCATTCTTGAGGAATGGAGTAGCTCAGGGAAGGTCCTCTGAGGGGGCGCAGTAAAAGAGGACTTCCCACAGTCCCTCAGACACCTCCCCCGCCTCCCCACCCCCACTACATGTCTGTGTCTCAGGAAACATCTACCATTATGTGCCCTGGTACAACACCAAGCCGGTGGTGGCCGTGACCTCCTACTGGGAGGACGTCAGCTCCCGCATGAACTGCCTCAACCTCCTTCACTTCATTCGGGACCGCCTGGTGAGTGGTGCAAGAGGGTGCAGGGGTAGGGCCGGGCCATGGATGGGAGGCTTTGGAAACTAAATCACAGTCCTAGGGAGCCAGTCACTCTCCTTGCTCACACATTCCGCACCAATGAAGATGGAAGTGTCCGGCACTGTGCTAGATACTGAAGACCCAAAGCTGAATAAACATAGCGCCCAGCCCCACCACCGGGGAAGTCAGACATGCAAATAGCTACTATACAGAGGAGCTAGGGCTGGAGATACAGTACCCAGAGCTGTGGGGGCACAGAGATTAGGGGTGGGGGAGGGGAGACAAAGACAGGATAATCAGAGGAAGTGTTTGAAATGGAGGTGACATTTGAGGAGAGTCTTGAAGAATGAGGAGTTTGCTGGTGGCGTGGTGGGGGTGCAGAGAAGGGAACAATGTGCAAAGCCATGTGACATGAAGTTCAGGGGTGGCAGGGACAAGGAGGTGATGTGGAAATAAGGCCAGAGAAACTGGAAGGGGTCAGATCACAAAAAGTGTTATGCATCTGTTAAGGAGGGAAGTCACTGAACAGTTTTAGGCAGGAGAGCCACCTTAGATAAGACTTTCTTGCACCTACAGAAGGGAAGCCCTGGGTCAAGACTATACCCCTTACAGTCCTGCCCTATCCTTCCACTTCCTGCCACTTATTCTATTGGGTCATGGAGAGGGTGCGTGAGGATCCCAGCCTTGCAAGGGCATGTGACAGCTTTGGATGGATATCCTCAGGTTATCCCAAAGGCCCCCAAGTCCTGACTGAAAACATCTCAGGCCAGTTGGCCCTGTAACCCCTCCCGGATGAGCCCCCATGCTCATTTCCTGTCTCCTGCTGGACAGAAAGCCAATCTGGACACCCTGAAGTCCATACGGAATCCGAGGGACCCCGCTCTGCTCCCCCAGTGGAAGAAGCTGCTGAGAGAACTGGTGGAGGATTGCAAGTAGGGGAGGAGCGCACTGCCCTGGGGCTGGGGCTGAGCCAGGTCAGGTTCACATGGGGTGGGGGTTCAGACCAGCACCCTACAGAACATCACCCAGCTCCTAACTCCTCAAGAAAGGGGCTCTGCTCAAATCTCTCTCAGGCTCAAAGTCCACAGGACATTGCTGCTTCTCCTCCCCCATTCAGGCCCTCTGGAAACTGGCCTTGGCCTCCCCACCCAGCCTTATCTGGCTGTCCCTATACACACACCTGATGCTCCTACCAACCCAGACCTCTCCCTGTCATCTTGGCAAGCAGCTTTTTCCCTGCTGCTGCTCCTGTCCACAGTGCCCTCCACAGGGCTCTGCCTGTTCTGGAAGATGCATCGTAAGGCCTCTCCCAGCCCCAGCCCCACACCCCACTTGGATCTCCACCCCTACCCCCCAGGGCTTGGTTGACCCTTGTTTCTGGGCTCTCACCCACCTCCACAAGGGGCTCCCTGAGCACAGGCCTGTGGGAGGGGGTTCTCATGAGAACCGGTGGGCCAGGCCATCACAGGACAGGACAGGATCTCAAGTCTAAGAAGGGTACCTTGGCCTAAGGCATGGCAGGAGGTAAGATGGAGAGAGGCCCAGCCCCCTCTTTCCCGGTCCTGGCCACAGGCACCCTCTGCCCTGCATGACCCATCAGCACAGAGCCACCGAGCTGGACAAGAAGAGGTGGCAGCTCCGCAGCCTCCTCCTGCAGGAACTGGCCCAAAAGGCCAAGGAAGCCAAGCCCAGGAACATGGTGGCCACTGTGGAGAACTGGCTGTACCGCCTCAATGCCATGCTCCCTGAGGTAGGCGCTGGACATGCTGCTGGGGGGGGGGGGGGGGGGGGGG